ATAATGATAATTTAAAAAAAAAATCTTCTCCAATCGCTCGTTCTCCTCTTGGGCCTGCACGCTGTGCAACTTTTTTTCTACTCCAAACTCAAAGGGAAAGAGTGCTTATTTATTTTATAACTTTTTACAAAAGATCTTTCTATTCAATGTGGAGGATGAAACAAAAAAATACTGGTCACATTACGTGGGCCATATTTTTGCATTAATTTATTGTTGTAGTTCCACGTCTTACTTTGTAGTTGTCTCCCTTTGATTTCAAGTATCAAGTCTTTCTTCATGGAAGTCCAGGATTTATGACCACCGTCCACGCTCCGATATGAACACAAGAAAAGGAGATGAACTAGAAGATCTTTGAGCAGTCATTGTCCAAGAAACCTGTCAATGTCACATCTTTGCCACGTCTGAGCAACCTGCGTAGCTGTGTTTTATTTTCACGTCCATGCAACTTAATCCTTTAGTGTTTTTAAAGTAGCCGGCCCTCAACTCTTCTATCTGTGTCCTCCAAAGGATTGGAAGAGCTTAAAAAGTCCACAGCTCCTCCAGTATGTAAAAGAGAAACGACTTTATAATGTACTTTTTCAAGATCAAACACTGTGTCTGTTCATTTTGTCTAGTTTTTGTGTTCTTATACTAGTTTTTCATCAGTGTGGTAATTTATAAAGTGTTGTGTTTGGTCACACGTGATCCTTCGATTTGTTTTTAATGATCTTGTTATCAGTCTGTCTGTCTGTCTAGAGTATGACCATCAACATTGTCATTGACCGTCATCATTGCTGTCTACATAAGCCAATTTGTTAATGTTTTATATATGTGAACGTGGGCCAGACCCACTCCCTGCTTATGGTCCTTATCTTCAGTGTTGCAGTATGCCAAAGCCCTGACCATACTCCAAATAAAGTTTGAAATTCATAAATGTTAAATGTGATTGGTATTTCAACTACAGGCTGTAATATAAATGTATAATTGAACATATGATGTTGGATGGTGAATGCATTTAGCAAAGCCAAAGGTGAAAACTAGCACTAGCATTGTCTGTCTTAAACTTTGTAAATCTTTCGCAAAACAAGTCAAATATTTAAATGCCATTAAGTTTTCCTGAACTTGAACTTCAGGAAAATGTTTCAAACCTATTTAAAACTATAATAAATTACCTTACATGGATATTCTTTGGAACATAGCTTTTCAAAATCCTGAGGCCAATCTGTGCCACATTTTAGAGAACAGCCCTTCTGCCTGGTAAAGTGTTTTCACATCAACCTCATGTCTACAGATTTGTTTTTCCATTTTTATCAAAGTTATGACAAATAAGATTTAATAAACTTTAACAAAATAGTTTCTTTTTCAAATCGTGTTTTCTTTATTTTTATTTATACTTTACAAGAATAATAATGTCTGTAGCACCAAGTGTCAAAAACTGTTCATTAATGCTAGTCAGGTTCTTATTCAGTTATTTTGTCATATTGTCCCAGATTTGAACAATTCTGACAATTCTTAGACTATTTTATTTAAGCAAAGTATATTATATATATTATAGCTTGCATTTAGATGGCCTCAAAACAGTTTTGAGGAGTAACATGTTAACAATTCTCTTAAGAAGCTTAACAGCTTGTATTAAAAATGAGCACTTTAAAACTTACGTTTAAAAACAGAATCTGGAGGTTTGTATTGTGACCATTTCTTTGGTAGAGACTGGTTCAGATGGACACCAGATTAGTAACTGGGACACTATTTCTAATAGGTGAAGTGGTGAAGAACCACAACTGGAAATCCATCCCCTCTCCATAGTCCTTTTTCACAGCAGACATTTCATGGGAAAAACACCTGTTTCTAATAACACAAATGGTGGTTTACTTGTATTCAAGGGTCTTGCATGGTGGCAAAAGCCTAACAAATATCTTAAAACCTGGGCATATAAAGCCAAACCCATCTGCGTGGCTGAAGACCACTAGAGGTAAGTGGGAAAAATTTCAAAGATGATGTGTAAAATTGTAACACATCAGCACTGAATTTACATTTCTGATGCCAGAAAGAGTCACAAATTTATTCTGATAAAACTCAAGTGGTCACTTCAGAGCAATTTCGTATGAACACAGCAGCATAGATCAAGTCCCTCCGGATGTGCGTTTTAAATTTTAATGAGCGCTCATACGTTTGTGAGATCATTGACACTGCAGTATATTGTATGGTGACATTTATAAGGGCAAAAAGTTATTTATAATTATATGATTTACACTATTAATATAAATAGACTGAATAATAAAAAATTCTGAATTGATGATGGCCAAATTTCATTTAGTGTCTTCATTTTCAATTCAATTTATAAAACAAACATGAATGACTTACTCAAAAAAAAAAAAAACATGTAACAATAGGAAATGATTGCAAAAGTCTAGACTTTATTTTCCTGCTGTTTTATGGAGGGTATTGCAGTTTGGCACACATATGCGTATGATACAAAAGACTGGTGAACTTTGCATTATCTTTATGAAAAAATGCGATCGGACACGACAGGAAAACTTTTTAAACATTTTTATTAATTAACGCAACTTACAGTCAAGCCAAAGAGTGAACTATATTAAGTGATACGTATTCACATTATGTCCTAACAGGGTTTACAGCATATCTTGTGTTCTGTAAGCATAATTGTTAACAAAAATGAGGAAATGTAAAATAGAAATCAAAGCTTACAACTTTACAACAACAAGAACAAGGAGCTTAGCAGTGGATGTGAACAAATTAAATCAGCAACATATAGACCCTCACCAGAACAGGAATGACAGCAAATTCAGTTTTGGCATGTCGTGGTTTAAATAAGGGAGAAAAGAGAGAGAGAGAAAAAAAAAACAACAACTCAAAACTGAGTTCAAAATGACACAAATGAAGGGAGGTTTGAATTCACACGGCTGTGCAGGGCTGCCTTTGCCAAGAGACTTTGGTCACTTTGCTTCTCCGTCATGGCTTACAATGAAATAAAAAGCACAATGTATAAAAATGAAAATGGCCAATGAGGGAAAAAAAACAAAACATCAAGAAAATGGAGTGTCCTGGAATCAGTTCTATGTATGAATGAACAGGGGAATATCTTATATTTTTCAAGAATCTACAGATGATTGTCTGTTTCACTTAAATGAGCAAGAAAATCAAAAAAGGTTTTGCAGTCGACTACAACTCCAGGACAGCCCCTACATTCATAGGAGGTAGATAACATGGCAATGACACGACATGAACTCTTCAAAAAAAAAAAAAAATATATATATATATGTGTGTGTCTGAACGGGAATCGAGCTCTCTGTCAAGTCTGTGAAATTGTAGTGCATAATTTGTTCAACTTTTAAGGCCAAATAGGAACCTCACATGTAGATCTAAGGCTATTTTAAGACAAAGGTGCAGGGGGGAGGTGGGGGGGGGGAGGAGTTTGGGACAGGGACACAGTAAGCAGATAACAGCCCTTTCACGACAATACCTGAGTCAACAGTCGTGTTATACCACAGAGCCTTGCAGGATGCTTGGTGCACGTCAACTCTTCGTCAACTAAACCCGATATTTTTGGCTACACAGACACAGAGAATATGCAAAAACAAAAAAAAAAAGACAGAGCACAGAAATAGTGCTCAGTTGCGGCTACAACTGAGAAATATTCTGATGACATTTTGTGTATAAATTGCATAAATGACACATTATCATTTGGCCACAAGGTGTAACGTACTCTTTTGTTACAACAGAACTCGATCAGATTTACTGGTTGTGGCATGTGCACAGCCTGTAGTGACATTCAAACCTCCCAAAAGGGGAAAATTAAAATTTTATTGGACAATATGAAGTACACTAGAGAAAAAAAAGTCAATGCAGCATATATCAGGCTTATGAGGTACTTCATGAATATATATAGATATATCAACCTTTTTAGAAAAGCTCTTCAAAGTCATATTATTCCTTATAATTCCTATTGATAGCATAAAATACCTCGTCAGTTATTTCTTTTTACTTTCTGCCCAGCCTCAAGTGGGCAATTTCTTTTTTTGAGACTGCTTTGAAAGTGCAAAACACAAATACTGATCGTTCTATGCAGCATCTACACGCAAGGTTGCATGATAATTAAAAATGGAAATTCGTTTTTTTTTTTATGTGGCGCAGCAGATTTTGTCAAAACCTTTTATGTTTAAAAAGGACTCACAAACCCAATGTTGGGGCAGATGGAGAATAGAGAGATCCGACAAAAGGCACACATAAAAAGGACTACAAACACGCTGGATGTTTTCAGTTTTGACTAAAGTTACAACAAACTGTAGTTAATTGCCACACAACCTCATATGTACCTTTCGTTGAAGTTTACAATGCTCTGATACATTGTAAAGCATGTTCAAATGTGTATATTCCCTTTGTAATTTGTCGCAAGCAAAACTACATCTTAAAACCTTTGACAAAAACGGACTTGAGTCTGGCTAATTGTAGGAGAAGTGGAAATGAACTGAGTACGAGACAGGGACTTGGATCCCGGTTTTATTGCAGTACTGGGTTGACGCGGCAAAGAAATGTAGGCATTTGATCACGTGGAGTGGCTCTATCCAGTATGAAACCTTAATGTTTCAACATTCTGCTAAAACGAAAACAGAAAAGGCCGGTTCCAAATACGGAGACAAAGTATTGTCCATCTAACGAAAAGTCTAAAAATGTTTATTGAGTGTTGCCTTGACCGACGTAAAGAGGACAGACTGGCGTGAAGACAAACAGATGACCAACAATCCACAGCCCACACACCAATGTTATTGCTGTACAAACATCTTTCCAACAAACCATCAACGCCACAACAAATATTCCTCAGAATCACCACCATTTTACTGGAATATCAACACATTGTCATAGTGAAGAGCAATTACTGTACGATGGCACGTCTGTCCATATATGGTCCGGTCATGATTAGTCTATTTCACCACATGAATGAGTCCTAGGTTGTGCTGGGTTGTTTTAGTCACTGTTTGAAAAAAAATAAAGGACTTGAAACAATGAGACTCCAATTACAAAAATTTGGTCCCCTAAAATGTAACCAACTAAAGCAACCAACCAGTCATACATGATTACTTGGTTTTCCATTTATTAAGGTTAAAGGAAAGAACAGTGCTCTCACACGATATTGGCTTGTATTGGTTTGGTCACAACAATTTTGGATTTTTGTTACCATTATTATAAATTAGGGCTAATATTAGCTAGCACCTGACACTGCTCTGAGGTAGTTTTTTTCCAAGTTGGTAAATAAAAAGCCAAGTCATTCTGAAGACTAGAAATGCTTTGAAAATACAAAAATACCCACAGGAGTCTTGCATGATTGGATGCATGGAGATCGGCTGGATGGCATTGGTTTTGTTGGGTGAGAAGGTCAGATTAATCCCACATGTCCACCTGAAGCCGCTGCGTCGCTTGCTGGACGCCAGACACTTCTGGTTCCCATCGTCACTCACGCCCGATTTCTGTGCTCGGCTACCCTTAGACATTGGGTCTGTTTTGGCCGGAGCAGCTTGTGTCTCTGAAGCTCTGTGAGGCTGACCTTAAGCACAGCGGCACTTTGAGCTAAAAAGCTAAAGTCACCATGCTAACCTTTTTAGAATGACGGTGCTAACATGCTAACGTAATGTGTGTAATGTTAACCAGTGTCCCCATCTTCGTTTTAGCATGCTAAAGATTCGGTGATTAGCACTTTAACACCAAGTACAGCTGAGGCTGATGGGAATGTCAATAGTTCTGCAGGTTAGCGACCAAACAAACGGCGCAGCTGCATCCTGTGGACATGAGGCATAACGGTTCCGTCCTCGCGTCTGCCAGAACCCCATTTGAATTTGTACACAATAATTCAGAGTTGTAGTTAAAAACAATAGTATAGGCCTAACCCTAACCGCAGAGACCTTGTGGACACCACACCAGTGTCACATGGCTACAGGTGATTGGGTGGACATTGGCATGATAAAGACTGACTGTCAAGGACAAAGTGATGCTTCAGAAAGGTTTATAAAGGAATAGGAAAACGATGCTTGCTGAAGCCAGCCGAGTGCCTTGTAAATCATAAAACGGGACTTTTAAAATCTGGAAAAACAGCTGCGTATTAATACAATCACTAAAAGTAAGGAACACAAGCAACACTCAAACGAAAAACCTTAGCTTCTTTGCTTTTAAGTGGCACTGCGCTAATGAGTTAGTGAGCTGAACTCGGGGAGGATTTTAGGATTTTACAGGACAACTCTGCAAAAGACAGGAATATCAGATCGAGGGCTTAGGCGGAAGCCAAAAAAATCTAACAGCAAACGAGATCACACGCCAAAGCAACCATCATATATACACACACAGCTCTTATGATACAGCACCTCACACAAGCATGACGCCAGGCCAGAAAGGATGACGACTCTTTACACCAGTGTGAAACGTTTTTGTCTCCTAAAAACTACAGTAGCCAACATCTAGAGAAAGACATCTCAACTGTAGACTTGTATAACTCCTGTTAAATCAGTGAAAAGATTCATGATATCAGCGGTGACGTGGGCGTGATCGAAACCTATGAAATATTAAAAAGAACAAAACATAATACTTTCTGCAATTATTAAAGCCTATAAATAGGAGAAAAATACACCAAAAAGAAAAAGGAAAAAGGCTGTACACAAGAAGCAAACATGAGTATAAATGTACTGGATGGATAGCCTATACAATATTACAAACCACGCAGGCTCTAAGTACATTCATTGTTATTATTTGGAACTAGGAAAATAGGTTCTACTCTACAAGAGGTTTCTTTATATTAGCAATAGTTTCTCTACAAGAGACGGATGAGAGGAGAGATGTCCCTATACAGAGGGTAATGGTTTGGAATAAACTGGTGTATAGGTTGAAACTGGGAATTCATTTTATTCCAAGACCATTTAAAAGCAAAAAATTTAAAAAGTAATACAGGCTGATCGTTACACGAGGAGGATTTTTTTTATCTCAGCCTCATTCAACCCTAAATCATATATACTTACAAAAGAGAAAGAACCGGTATCGATAAAATAAAATGAACTGTCTATCAATTCAATTAGCTTATGATATGCCATTTAAGTTTACAAACCAGCCGTTTCTAGATCCTGCTGTGTCCACTCCAAAAGACACGGACAAACAGCTAAACTGAGGTTACGTATCTGAGAAGAAAGTATCCTGTAATTTCATGAGGGTTACCACTGCAGGTGTTTTGAACACCTAACTAAGCACCTTGGGCACTATTAAACGGTAAAGTAGCGCCACATTCATCCAGGCTCGTGTATTCCTCTGTTTGTTCCACACATTCTTGATTTAGCTCATCATGATCAAGCAGGTTCACGTAAAACGGAAAAAAAGCCTCTTCTGAATCTTGATATGTATAGTCCATGGTGGTGTCCGACACATGAAGAGGCTTTACTTTACGCATTTATTCTATGCGCGTTGCAGTCTTGAACCGGGACTGTAACCATGTCAGAACTGCCTTGCACGCTTCCTCCGCACACAGCACTTTGGCATCCCCCGGTCTCTACAGAAATCGTACGGTCTATAGTTAATCATCGGTAATAATCGGTTCTTTTCAATACCTGTCAGTTTGTTTTGCATAAAGCAACTTTCTCACACATCACTGTACAAAGGCAACCCACACACGCAACTACAAGCCTCACTCTTTCGTTTAACATTTAAAAAGGCGTGAGGATATTTCTGAAAGATGAAAAGCCGAATGCTGGTTGGCTAGGTAGAATCCCTCCCGATTCTAGCAGGCGCACACACACACACGAGGCCCTTGGGGCCCTGTTGGCTGCGCCTCTTGTATTTTGAAATGCCACCGATGCCAACTGCTCCTTTCTAAATTAAAAAAAAAAAAAAAGGAGTCTGCCACCTGATGAATACTCTTAATGCTGCAACAGCTACAAAAGTCCATTCTTGTTTAGTGCAAAAACAACATTGTCAAATGTTTGAGTTTTATCTCCAGGAAAAGCAATGCCATTGTAATCTACTATTTTAAGGTGCTGGTAAAGGTAATGTAAAACACGAAGAAGCAGTAACAACAAGTACAAAGCCGCCTCCTTAAACGCCACCTTGATGTAAACCATCATTAAGGAGACGTGTTCCCTTCCTTACTTTCCATATGTCAGGACATATTACATTCTAATTTCCAAACACACACCCAACAACAGGGCTCCAAACGGACACCAGTCTCCATAAAACACAGCGGAAAAATTCATTTGCTCTGATGAAGTCACCCTCATACTCAAAGTATCAATGCATGATCACATACAATCAAAAATGTAATAACGTTCTGTTGTGAAATGTAACTGACTAAAAAGGCCTTGCTGAAGTGCATTCCTTACAAAAACCTGTTCATGTGGATTCAATTTATTCTCTGTTTTAATTTGCAAGTAACTTGAAAAGCCTGACTAACAGCACCAATAGAGCAAATTTACAATTTCTCCAAATCAAGGACACGCACTGATCATACCTGTGGGCTTTGCATTTGTTGTTATACTTCTCAGGTGTCAAAAAAAAAAAAAAAAAGAATTCTGTCATTTTACTGGTGCATAGAATAAAAAGGAAAGAAAGAAGGGAAAGCTGTGTGTGAATACAAACACACTTCAAGAATTTGGTCGTACAGCTCAACGCTCAAAACCACTACAAAAAACAAACACATTCTCTCGTATCAATTTGAGTAAAATTACGAAAAAAAGAGCAAAAATCACACAACTACAAAGCGCGTTCACCGTCATGCACACCAAGCGTTTAAAACCCCTACTGTCAATGCAAGACTCAAACAATGCCAATTAGATAGATAGCAGGGGTAATTATACAGAAATGGCCAGCAGTGTGATGTTACCATAACACTTAAACAGGTAACAAGAGGTAGAACACACGGCCATTTCCATACAATTACACCAGTGTGACGCATTATGGCCGAGCCTCCTGCTTAGATTGAGGAACACACATCTATAGAGTCATACCAACGTTCTGCTATCAAAAGTGCATCCAAATTTACATGTTGTGAGACCAGCACCGATAAGAACAATATTGACATCATAACAGTAAATATCAAGTACGTGATTTTCAGAATGCCCCACAAACACAGTCAGTCGGATTTCTAGTTGCTTTACAGGTAATGAGTAAAAAGGGTAACACAGAGAGGTCGTCAAAGGGAGAGAAAAGATCCTCAAGGTGATGAAGCATCTTTTTAACATACAAGTAAAAAGCCTTGTTGACCAGTCCAGTGAGGATTTAAGGTGGTTTACAGTGAAAACTTCTAGCACCTAGAATCAAGATGTCCTTTTGTGCTTCCATGTCTTTTGAATATTAATCATGTAAAAGTTTGTAATCTTGTTTGGCTAAGAAAGATTGTGTGTTTACAAAGGATACACCCAATTTTCAGGCTATAAAATCTACAACGTTACAAATGACCACATAAATACTTCATCCTGTTAGAAAGGCATGAAGATGCTGATAAGCACTAAGAAACGCTACTAAATGCAACATGCTAAAAAAAATAATAACAAAAAAAGCCCTGATTATCTACCTCTATAAATGACCCAAATTCATGTGAGATACCCCCACTGCTAAATCTCTTGATTAAAAATGATGCATAGTTAGAAAATGTAGACTACTCGCCTCCAATCAAGACTATGAGAACATTCGCCAGCTTAACTTCGTAGTAAAACTTAGTGGGATGTTAGGAAATGTCTAAAATTATTAGTAAGACTGTAACAGTCTTAGAAGGCAAGAGAATATTTGCATTTAAAATCTGTATACAAATAGACAGTGTTAATTTAGACTACATGTGGGCCAGTCATTTAAAAAAATCTCTACAACATTTTCAGCAGCCTCCACTGAAAGCTTATTCAAAATATACCTTATTACCAACATTACTATATAGTATAAAGACTCACAAAAAGTCATTTGCATAAAACCCAAGCTTTTGTGCGACGACTGCTCCTAATTCCTGGAGCAAAACACTAGATTATTTTGTTTTGAAGGGAATTTCAATCAGTTAAACTCTAAAATGTTGCAGCTTTCACTCCACTGTACCGAATGCCTGGATATCGAGACGCCACACAAATATCCCGCTCTGACAAAGACACTGCAGAAAACACTATCCTGCTGCTATATACATTAAAACATAGAAGAAGGGTTAATGTGTATAAAGGAAAAAATAAACAGGTATCACAAATGCCTAAATTACTAAAACATGAGTCAGCTACATGCATATCCATTACAAAAATGATTGAAATTAAATTAGACTATAAAAAAATGAAGGGGAAAAAAAAAAAGATTTCATCAATTTCCCCTCTATGTTGATTTCTACATCATGTGTCCTTTATCAACACGGCTCAGAGTACATTAGAAAGATGTCCTTTGTTGGGAACCAGTCCCAATATGCTATTTCTCGGCATGGGAATTAGGTTAATGGTGCAACTCTTTCAGTTCAGACTAACCAGAGAGGCAGAGAAGGATAAAATTGCTGTTCTTTCAATCTCTATTTGAACACTAGGAGCCCTCATCAAGAATAAACTAAGTGTTGGTTCAAGGGTTGATAACAAATCTGATGCAAAGAATCCATTAGTAAGCTGTCACCAGATTTGGCATAAAATGGTCATCAGTGTCAATCAAGGACAAATACTGAAAACCCAGCAGATGTGGGCCTAATAATTCATAGTTTTACACAGAAATGACAACAGAAAGGTGGTCTCAAATGGCACTTTTCATCACATAGTGCCCTATGTGAAAAATCACACGCGACCCTTAATATATTAAGTACTTTTGTCCTGATTGAAGTACCCATTCTGGTCAGTGCACTTTGCTTTGATTGGCTGATAAATAATGTTTGTCAGAGGAGCAAATCTTTAGGCATATAAACAGTGAACATCATCTTTTGATGAATTTGATCCTTCTCCCTTCAAGCACCAAGACCCTCACAAACGATAGAAACAGGAGGAGGAGGGTGAACTGCTTCTTCTAAATTATAAATCACCCCAATGTATAATGATACTGCCCACTAGTTTAGAAATGGTTGATTTCTTCTATCAGTGTACGAACTTTTCCTTTTCCTTTCATACTTTGCAACATATTTCCCTACAACAAATACAAACACACACTAATGCACAACATGTAAATAAAACCTCTTCCAGCTTAAACCCCAAGAAAGAGGGATTCTTTTGCATCTTACAGTCTAATAGCTGGCTTGGTTCGGGTGGGTCAGGGGCTGAAGTACAATTGTAGACATATGGGTAACTGACAGGTCTGTTAGGTAGGGAGATCACGATGTGAAACCACTGTGATGCTATCTACAGCTGACAGCGAGACAGCGAGGGGTAGTGTGTTTCATCAGTGGGGTCTCACCCACCCCAACCTGGGGTTTGTGTGCTCTCAGGCAAAGTACATGGTCCGCAGGGTGTCCTGGTGGATCTGAACGGCCTTGGCCAAGGCCTGTTGGTCACGCCCGTTACTCTGGCCTGATGTATGACTGCCCTCGGCACTGAAACGGCAACAATAAAAAATGTGTAAAAACTGTCGTGGACATTTGAAATTACCGCAGCAGAAAATTGCAGCGAGTCCTTACCTGTCATGCTCTTTGTCCACCAAGTGATAACGAGCCCGGAAAGCCACCAAATGGGCGTAGTAAGCTGGTGCTGGGATGGAAACTGACCGGGTACAGCGCACATAGGTGTGGCATAGCTGGTAGGTCAGGACCTGCAGTTCATCTGAAGAGAAGTGGTTGTCGTCCCAGAGCACGTGGTAATGAGACGGCCTGCTGGTACCCTGCAATGAATGATAATGGAGGACAGGTGTTGCTTTTGTGTCCACAAGGGGAAAAAGGACTCGCACCATCATCAGTCTTCTGTTATTAGCCAATCTGGCTGATGATCCATTTGTTTTTCATGCATGATCAAAATCCATTAAATCTGGCAACACATTTGACATCCTTTTTCAAAATACTTCACAGGAACATTACCAGTTTAACTTGTTAGTTCAATTACAGTTGATCCTAATTCAGTTCTTACCTGAATGCCAGCGTGACTGCAAAGGTAGAAGTCAAATTCTGAAGGGTGAGTGATTTTGGTGTCCACTGTGGTGCCTGCAGGAATGTTACCACTCTTCCCAACCTGCAAAAATCAACACAATAATGTTTAAGTGCGTTAGGATGGTTTTGTTATGTTTGGATTTAAAAAATAACTTATTTTTGGGAGAAGCAAAGGGAATACATGGAATTTTGACCAATAAACAAGTTTTTTTAAACTGAAATTTCCAGATATGGGAATGTGATTATCAAGTAGGGGTTTATATGCTAGTGTCACCAAATTACTTATGATTACCTAATGTCCCTAATTTAGAGGTGATGCGCGAGAGAGCAGACCAACACCTGTAGCAGCTGGCTTGATGCCATCTGTGAATGACTATAGCTTTGGTAACACGCTAAACAGCTTTACCTACTGCTGATTCACCTTTAGAAGGTAACCTAGTAAGTACGAAAACATTTTGGTCTCAAACAAAAAACTGACCAAATTTCCCACCCCTACTGAAGACAGAATACTGACCCTCTCGTTTCTGTCCATACAGAAGAGTCTTGTGTGGTGTCTCTTCTGCACCACCACAAAGGTGATACCGGGCTGGTAGTCCTTCTCTAGTTTTATGCAGGCCTCACGGATCGCCAGCAGCTCATGCTGAAGAACCTGCATGCATTCAAGTCAAAAGATATTAAAGATTAACAGGTGAAATGTTTTGGACAAAAATAAAATCAGCTAAATTCAACATGTACAAAATGTACACTGCCTCAAACACAAATGTATTTCATAGATTATTGTGCATCATCACCTGGTTGAATTGGCCCTCAGAGATGCCATCGCGGTAGTAGATGATTCTGGTGGGCTTGAAGCGGGTGGACTTGTAGAACTGGATGAGCAGCTCCCTCACCATGGTGGCCAGGTCCTGAATGATGTCCTGACGGTGCTGCTGCACCCGAACTGTGGCACAGTATCTGCTGGGATGGGCATCCATACTACCAACAACCTGAAAAGCATTGAGTACCAAATTAGAGGATCAACGTTTTAATGACATATAATGCAACATTAAAAGTGAAAGAGTGGACATAAAAAATCTAAGAGCTTTTTAACGGTCTTGCATTCCTTTTTTACATCTTTTCCAGCAGACAGCGGCAACATTAAAGTTTCCAACTCTTAGTAACTTTGTTACAGCTTTGTACTAAGTGGGTAGCATACAGTGGCTTTTTTGGAGGAAATGGTTGCCTACAGGGTTTCTGGGAGCAGCTGAGAGTCAACCATAGAATAGATGTACCAGCCATAAAACCAAAAGAATGAGTTGAAAGAAGCTTAAGAGAGGCACAGATGGTTGGTCATTCTGGAACGTACATTAGACCCTATTTAAGCATTTTGTATAGGGTAGATGTTCATGTTGTGTGGTGTGATGTTACTTACAGCAGCGATGGAAGGCTTTTTTCCATCCCCTGCAGGCGGATGAGTCACATCTGCACCAAGAAATATCACTGGCTGCTGGAACACTAACGGCCTGGAGTGCAGACACAGGTGAAATTCAGCACAAAAAATGCAATTTTCCAGTTTTGGATAACAGTCGATGGGGGTCACATTTCAAAGATATTAATTTCATCATCAGTATCTTCACTAACCTGCCCTGCGGTAGGAGGATGTTATTGACACCGCCCAGCTTCACATTGATCTTCAGACAGAGGTTGGAGAGGGTCTGAGGTGTTGTCTTTTGAACATTCTTTACCTGCACACACTGTGTGGCCATGCCAAGTACTGTGTCCCCCACACGTTTCACCTCAGCTACAAGACACATCAGGCCAATAAGGAAATACAAATTAGTTTAACACGATCCGGTACGATACTGATGCTTTGGACATGCACACAGATACACTGACCAACTGCAGCTATTGGGAACTGGAGGCATGGTTTGGTCCACCACACTGGCAACCAAAGGTGTACTTTAAAAGACACTCTAAAGCGGAGTAACTCTTTTAATTTGGTTATGTATGAGTGGGATGGTGGTTACTGATGTTGAAATGACAGAGTGAGTTGAGAAGCAAATGGGAGATTGGCTGGGAAGGACCACAGAGAGAATGTAGCTTTATTTGGCTCGTACTTCTTGTGGTCATTTCCTAAAGCAGAAATAGAAGCAGTAAAATTTGCTCAACAGGCAGTGAAGCAGCAGCCCGACTGCACGTCTCTAATCACTAGGGATGTCCCGATCAAGGTTTTTTACCCCAATCCAAGTCATTTGCCTTGTTGCTGTCTGGAGAGAGTTTCTCTTTCCAGTGTTTGCTATGGTGCAGCCTTTACCTGAGTTACCTGAACAAACTGTCTGTATTCTGCTCACTGTTTATTTCTGTTATCTCTACATCTTTTGAGCGGATTGCATTCTTTAATTACTCGTTTTGGCTTTTTGAGAAGAAAGTTGACGATGGCTGCACCGTATGTGGCAGCTGACGTAAAAGTCACATTGTTTGTCTTTAAGTAGACACACTGATTTCATGCGGAGGAAGGTCGATCTAATGTCCCAAATAGATCAATATAAATCATGTTCCTCATTAAATGACACAAAAACAAGGTACTGTATGAGTGGATCACTCACCGTAGACAGGCGTCTTCCCTGGTAGGATGACGACCACCAGCTGGAGGCCCTGGTAGGTGTACTTGAGGTGCCGGAACATGGGCTCCACGCTGTCTGCTCCCTGGGCGTACTTACAGAAGCAAGGCTGACCCTGGATGGGCATCCCTGCATCCCTAGAGATCTTCCTCAGCTGATCTGTGAATGCTCTGAGACAAAAGAGGAACTTGTTTACTCTTCAGTTGCAAGAGAAAGTAATGGCTGAGAGGCAAACATCAAAGCAAAATTAAGTCCAGCAGTAAAAAGCAAAACCTATGTAGATATCCAACAACAACTATTGCCCCGAGTTACCTTGTGTATCTTGACATGAGTGTTTAAAAGTAAATAATAAATTCAACTACTTCTTCTTTTAACTATATAATACTCTAAACGCAAAATTAAGAACATTATATTGTGGTTCAGCATAAACACATCTAAAAAGAAAATCTTGAAAGCCAGATACAATGCAACTATTGAAGGCATACTATGCAGGATTTGTTAGTTGCCGTTTGTAAATGCACTATTTTCTGCCCATCTTCCTAGCTTAAGTGACCTAGAAAGAATATGTTTGTACACTGGGTGCCAGGCCAGCTCTACCAGGTGAGCTACTCGGGCGTCCCAAGGTGCCATATTTCTGGATTTCTTTATAAATGCAGCTGATGTGCAGCTTCATCCTGTCTGCCCTCAATCAAACAGACAGACACAGAGATTTGCAGCCTGTTATGCATCCATGACACAGACAGAGACTAGAGGAGAGAGACAGACTTTTTATAGAGTCCTGACCTTAACCTGGACGCTGTCCAAAAGGTTAACGCCTAGAAACCTCCTGCACACAACAAAATAAGAAATCACAGCCAAAAAAAAAGGCAGAGTCTCTGCAGAGAGATTTTTTTGTTGTTGTGAAAATCCTGCGTAGTATGCCTTTAAGTCTTGCACGTGTAAGACTTGGCATCAAACAATGACACAAATGAAAATGACAAAACCTAAGAAAGGCAAATGAATAGCACAGCTGTACATACTCAAAGTGCACTCCCACGCCCCTGTAGAGCTAAAATACCTCAGTCCTCAGGGGGGCAATACTGCGACACACTCGGGAAACTGGGCTGTCACAGCAGTTGTGAAAGACCCAACAGAGGCACAAATCAAATAAGACAGCTTTGTGCCGTCTCTCTGACATTTGAAACTCCAGCTCACAGCTCAGTGTATCCTTGTGTTAGCGTACTCTACTGGAGTGTATTTCAGGCTTTATGATATGCTCACAGCTTTTCACCACCAACCCCTTAATCAAGGGCTGCCTACCATCAAACAACCGGCACATGTTCACAATGACATGAAATATGTATATGCTGGAGCACTTCACTTACTTGAGCAGGAGTTCAGTGCACTGCCTCTGTGGCGCAAAACAGGCGATGGCCCACACCTTGATCTCAATGCCAGTGTGGAACTGCTTGTTCCTCATGTCCCAAACTCCTTGAATTGGTGTGGCTATTGCTTTGTTCTGCAAATTGTAATGACAGCAGACCTATTAGTTGCAGTGACTGTACACAAGATGAAGTTTTTCCAATAAATCTCAATACCAACAACTTCATGCATGTAGCAACACAATTCAAAGTACTTTGCAAACATTAAAATAACTGGTGATCAACATACCCTGCCTCCGTATAGAATAGAAGGTGCCTGTAGAACACGGCCATTCACTTCTGTCATCTCATCCCTCACCATCACTCCAAATTCACGAACATAGGGGTCAGTATTGAAGTTTGCACTCCTCATCTGAAAAATAAAACAAAAAAACACAGCAGTTGGATTAGATGCTAATATTTCATTTAAGTTAAGTATTTGTTGAAATGTTTATTCAAATGTATTCATGATATTAGACAAATGTAACAACCAGCCAATTATAACACCATGAATTATCTTACCCAGTAGCCACTAAGCCTGTGCTTGGGTGTCAAACTGAAAACTTTTTCTTATCTCATCTAAACAGTCAACTTAAGCCAAGTCAAGAAACAAGTCATGGAACCACCACAATTTCTGTTGAAGTCTCCTTTCTTCTGTTGCTACCCTGTTTGTTTTTTTTAATCCAGAGTCCTGAGTGATTATTGGACCGTATGCCACTGTGACACGACTGTCAACAACTGGTTGGTAAGACTATTTGTTGGCAGGAGTGGCTGGCATGTGTGCATGTTCCAAAGTTCTCTGCTGTCGGGAGCCATGTTTCAGGGCCCGGCTACAATCATTGATGTTACAGGCTGTTTGTTTTTTTTGGTAGTTTCTAGCTTTGGCCTGATTGGGGCAGTGAGCTCTTGAGTTCACCATCTTGACCTGGTTTGCTACTGGCTCCAGACAGGACAAGAATTACTGGTGAATCCTGGAATGTAGCAGTTTGGCAGGAACATTGTAAACCATTTTACTGTTGACCGTCTCACGTTATTGCAGATATTGTGTCAAAACAAACAACTGGTTTGCATTCAGTTATTATTTATCTTACAATGACTTACCAATTTACTAATCTCGTCCTGACGGTCTGGTGCCGATCGGGCAGTGGCACGGATCATAGTGGAGGTCTGATTGTCAGTCAGCTTTTTGATGCAGCGCTGCCCTGCCACTATGTTACACACCTGGAGCAAACACAAGAAACAAAAAACGGTTAAGAGGACAATCAATAGTGAATCGGCTAACTTTTCAAAAAGCAAATGAGTACGCAGGGTTGGTGATGCTTACCTCTAGAGGGAGGTAGGTGTGCTTCTGCTCCTGCCCCACCTGTAGACAAGGGAGGTGGGGGTATCTCAGGATGAGCTTGTACTTGTCTTTGAAGTACTGTGCTACTGTGCATTCAATAGTTTGGCCATTCTCCTGCTGCAGGGGGAACCTGAGGGAAGCACACACCAGAAAAGTAAGAGGAAGAAAAATACAGTCTCGTCAGATTTCACACAATCTGCACTGATCATTTTTATGTAACAACTCTTTTTTTTAATACATTTTAAATAAAACTGCAGATGATGTGCATCAGCAACAATGCAACTAACAATGATATAACATGAACAAAGATGAGATAACAGAAGGTTCTTACGTTTGGTGGCTGGCTGGTCTTCTGGTCACGTTGCACACTCTGTACTTCCTCTTCATCTGCCCACAGTGAGTGATCTCTACCTTCAGGCCTGGACGGAGGAATCATAATAAAAAGGATAACAGAATTTAAAAAATACCCAGAAACTTGACTTGAATTATAAATAGATAGTAACTGAATCAAATCTTTACATTCCACTCCTTATTAAAAATACATTTCCAAAGACATAATTCAAAATAAAAACATGTCTCATTGACAAATTAAGACTTCAATGGCCTCTACTAAGTGAGCTTTACTTACCTTTGATTTCCTTTGTAAATTTCACTCGCTGAGAGTCTGTTAAGGGCTTCTGTTGTTCTTCAATGCTTTTGAAATCCAAGACCTCACACATGAACTCAATTACAGGCTGGGCTTTGTAGAATGCGGTGGCCGAAACTGCAGACAAAACAACCACACACAGATGAGATTCACAGAAACAACTTTACTTCATACAACTTGTGCACATTCGGTGAGAAAATTACCATCGATGTTGAGCATCATTTTCCAAAGGGAAGGCCTGACAGACTGGTGGAATCCAAACCACACCTCTCTGCCACCTCCAAGGGGGTTAGAACATCCCTCTGAAGGAGTGAAGAAAGAGCGGCCCACTGGGGTATACCTGTAACAGGACAGTCACTCATGTAAACCGGATTAACATGTTTCTGAGAAACAGAAGCTATTCAAAGAACTGGTTAAAAGAAAGACGCTTAATAAAGAAAATGAAATATAAAGAGATCTGTGATATAGGGATATGTAAAGATGCTCTGGATGATTACAGAATCAGAAGGGCTCTTTTGACAGTTCCACCTTACAGAGTATTTAGCATGACAAATGACCTATTTTATACAAGTTTCAAGTTATCTACAAGCTGACTGTCACACCTTATTAAAACAAATGCAACCCAATCGCTGCCTGCAATAAAATAAAAAAAAGTGAAAACAGGTTGCACAACACTTTTCTATCATGCTATGTTTATTCCTTTCAACTGGATAATTACTCATATTGTGTGACCAGATGTGCTAGAAACCATAACCTTTAAAGACAATATAACAACCTATACATGGATCAATGTTCCACAAAAAAAAAAAACCCACCTCATAGAGGGCAAATGTCTCATGACAACATCCAAGGCTTGGACGGTCTCAAAGGGGACGCTGGGTAACCGTCCTGCTAGTGCCTCGTGCAGAGCTTGCAGGCTGACGCAAGACACCCACTTGATGGATACTTTGAAGCTGCGGTCTTTGCCTTCACCAGGAATGGTTACCTCAAGCTCCACCTGTGTGGTAGATGGGCAACACAAGAAAAAGGCAATTGTTGTTATTTTGTAACATTTTTTCAACAATATTTAGACAATTTCTCCACAAAGGGAGATTTTATTGTTGCAGGTTGTTCTGAAAAAATACATACTTTGTCTCTGCCTATGGGCAAGGGCATGGCAGTGTAGAGATTCTTCCTCCCGTCATACACTGGCTTTCGATCCCCAAAGATTTGTGTTTTAAAGTGCTGGACCATGTGCTCCACGATTTCACTGAGAACCAAATGAAACCAATTACCAAAACGCCCAGGACGTTCAAACAACTGATCTACCGCGTGCCATGGGGTGTTGACGGAGTATAAACATGCACATACCGATTGACCCTCCTGGGGCATTTCTCAGGCTTGATGTCGATGTCGTAATGGTAGACCTCCAGTTTGGGGATTTCCATCTCGAAGAAGTTGGCCTGGAGCTTGATTGTCCTGCCCATGGTGCCGAAGTCCGGCCGCGATGGTGGCTTGAACACATATTCTGGCACTGGGGAAGATGGGGGTTCTAAAACAAGTGGGTCAAATGAAGGAAAGTAACAAGGGCATTATTAGATCACAATACACAAACATTAGAAGTTTCCCAAGATCTTAAGTCCTGATAAGCATTTTTCACTAGACAGATAAAAGGCACATTCACATATATAACTGGACAGTGTGTGTTTCTCAACTGATCATAATTAAACAATTCTGATGTTAACCCAAGACATCAGGACACATTAAAACCATTAAAAGAATACATCTAAAATTAGAGATGTAGAAAATCTTCTTTTTAATGGTTACCGTTAGCAAAAATGATCTAGGACATGTCTTACGTGACGTGTCTCAACCAGTTCGGCACAACCTGTTCTGCCATGTCAATTAGTCGGCCTCCTACATGTGGTAGGTCATCATAATTATGATGATGAGCCAAACTTAAGACATGATCTATTGAACACGTGCCATTTTGGTTTACCACAAACTATGATGTTGTTTATAAAAGGCAATCATCATCACAGATTTAATTGGCAGAAATTATTATTATTATGTGTGTGTGTGTGTATATATATATTTATAAAGGATTTTATATTTCTTAAATCTGAGGTGAGACATGAGCACAGAGTTATAGAGTCATGTTTCCTTTTACATCTGCAGCACCTAGCTGTAACAGTTGTTCACACAGGAAATATTAAGATGCAACAAGTCAAGTCATTATCCAACACCAACACTTGGTTCACTGATTGTTTTGGCTTCCAGCTGACATACTCACTTGTTTCTTAATATTGAATATA